GCCCACCCAATTTACCTCCAACGCGACTTGATAATCATCTATTTCATCACTTGCTTATTAACCTCCGACTGCCTCGGTAAACTATAGTAATTTCATACTTTCGGTAGACTGCAACTTCCATATTTCCGAATTTAATTACAATTATTATTCTCGGGGTCAACGATAATTACGATTAAATACCGACTTCCCTGTTACTCCATGCCTCGTTACTTTGTATTTAAAACAATATTATGCATTTTCGGGAATCGTTCGCTGGTTGATCGCTGATCTCAGTGGTGGATGTTATTCGGGCAACGAATAAAGCACGAAATTTAATTCCTCGTTCGATTATAGCTCTTTTGAAGAAATTTTCTTATTCGTTTCTATTAATTAATATCAAAATTCGAAGTTATTATTTCCTGTTCGTTTCAGGGAAACATTTTATTTTTCTCATTTTCTTCTTTCCTTCACGACAGACTGGAATTTTTCGAAGAAATAATTTCGCTTTATTGCTCCATAATTAAAGAACGACAGGAAGCGATGGAAATAAACGAACGAAACCTGCATTCGAATTCAATATTGGCATTAGTATATTCATTATTGACGAATAACAAATCACTCGAATAACGTCGAATGGTACGAGAAATAAATCGGATTTAACCCTTTTCTTTGTCGGCTCTTGGTGCTCGGATCTTCAAACAATTAATTAAATATCTTTCATATAGCAAATAATTTAGGAAAATTTTTCATGCCACATAGTTCCTATTAAAAATTTGCTTCTTTATTAAATATTATTGCACTTCTTTTTCTAATGTATTAAAATAAAAATTTAAAAGCAAGGTTAAAGCATTTCATGGTATATCTTCAACAACTTCAGTTAGAATTAATTCTTTGTAAATGCATAAATTAGAGTAACTTATTTGGTTTCACTTTTCTTTCAAAGAATAATAGAAAGGGGGAAAGGTTATTACATAAACAAACTTACATTTCTGATTTTCAGAGGGTTTTCATGTCAAAAGGGTACTATAGCTCTTCAAAATTATATT